GCACTCGGCCCCCCTCGCGGAGAACGTCGTAAGCTCGGAGGCAACTACTGGGAGGTCCTTCAGTCGAAAGGACTAAGGAAGACTGAGCCCCAATTGGGGGGGTTGTTGCGCTGGATTGGGCCGCGGATCCAGCGGGATTCAACTCAACTAAGCGGGAGCAAGCCGGAGTAAACGGGATCAGGCTGGATGAAGCCGGAGCAGGCCGGATTTTGGACCAGGGCAGAGCCAAACTTTGATCTCCCAGGAGATGCATCCGAACCTGAGGCTTGCCAGTGGGCCTCTCTGGGCCCTCGGAGCCAGAGCGGCCCGTGGGCCGACTTGGCCGCCTCGGGCCGGAATTACTGCTCGCCCGTTCCGCGCCCACGTCTCCAGGCGGTGTAGGGGAGATGACGTTGGGCTCCAGTTTCGCCTCCCACATCTCGCTCAGCAGCGCCAGAGCCCGCTGCCACTGCACGCCCTTCTCGCACGCGCTGATCCCAGCGCTGTAGCTGACGACGTTGGGCAACACCTTCGCCGCCCACATCTCGCGAAGTAGCGCCAGCGCCCGCTGCCACTGCTCGCCCTTCTCGCACGCGCTGATCACCGCGCTATAGGTAATGGCGCCAGGCTCCAATTTCACCGACCGCATCTCGCTGAACAGCGCCACAGCGCGCTGCCACTGCTCCCCCTTCTCGCACGCGCTGATCCCAGCGCTGTAGCTGATAACGTCGGGATTCAACTTCACTTGACAGAGTTCCCTGAGCAGCGACAGAGCCTGCTGCCACTGCTCGCCGCTCCCGCATGCGCTCATCCCAGCGTTGTAGCTAATGACAGTGGGTTTTAATTTCCGCTCCCGCATCTCACTGAACAACGGAAAAACTGCTTGCCATTGCGTGCCTTTCCCACACGCGCTGATCCCAGCGTTGTAGACGATGACGTCTGGCTTCAACCTCACCTCACAGATTTCTCTGAGCAGCGACATAGCCTGCACCCATTGCTTATCTTTCTCGCACGCGCTGATCACTGCGCTGTAGCTGACTAGGGCTGACCCATGGACTACCGACCTCGAGATCTGTCTGAAGTGGCGTGTGATGTGACGGCAGGCAGGCTGTCGAAAGACGTTCATATTGACGTCGGTGCCAGGGCCCGAACAGCGAGAAGTAGAAACAAGCAAGGCGTGAGCATGGAGGGGCGAAGAAACAGGCGTTAGGAGGGTGTGAGTATATAGCCGTCGGGGGGGCTCCCTGGGGCACTCTTGAGGCCCACATGGCAGGGAGATGCAAGCAGAGAGGAGGGAACGAAACATTAGCCAAGAGTGAGGAGCGAGGGGCCAGGAGAAGGGAATGAGCAGCAAGACGAGCAAGGAGCGATGAGAGAGGAGCGAGAAGTGACGGGCCTGAAGAGCGCCAAACAGCCTTGGCGAGCCGCGGGGAGCTCCGTGGACTGGTGAGGATGGTTTGACTGCTGGTCTGCCCGCCTGCTGTCCTGCTGCCGTGGTGGCCAGACTAGTGAACTGATGGCGCTTGGCCGAATCGCCAGCTCTCCGGCTGCTTGCTGTATTGTTTGTCAGTCCGCACCATGCCGCTTGATGATGCTTGGTGCTGTTTGCAGCGACTGCCTATCTGCACTCTGTGATTCACCATGTGATAAGGTGAGACTCTTGACATTACCTAGACGCCGCCGACTCCCTTCACCTCCTCCTCCTCCTCCTCCTCCTCTCGTCCTCGTCCTCCTCCTCCTGCTCCTCCTTTTTGTGACCCCCCATCTCCTGAGATTGGATGATTGGTACTACTGCGAAACATCTGACTCCTCTTCCTCCTCCGTCCTCTTCCGCCTCCTCCTCACCCAGGCTCAGCCATACTCAGGCTCACTCACACTCAGACTCAGATCCACCCACACTCAGACTCACTCGCACTCAAAATCGCACCTACGCAGACTCACTCGCACTCAAACTCACCCACACTCAAAGTCACTCGCGCTCAGACACGCTTAGACTCAATTCGCTCGCACACCCACTCGCACCCCGGCTCACTCGCACACAGACCCCACCATACACAAAGTCACTCACACTCCGACCCTGTCCGACTCAGACGCACTCATACTCAGACTCACTCGCACTCGCACTCACCCATACTCAGCCTCTCTCGCGCTCGCTTTGGAAGTCGAATATGCGGATCTCTCAAGCGACGCGCAGGCTTCAATACCCTAGGGGGAGCCGACAAGGGGGGGTATGACACTCGCCCGTTCGCGGCCAGACCGCGGGGACGTCGCAGGCGGTGCTCCTGTTTCGCTGCCCGGACCCCGGCTTTCAGAGCAGAGTGTGAGGATGCCTCTGCCGAGGCGCTGGCCTAAGCACCCCAAGGAGGAGCCGCCAGGGGGCATGACGCACGCCCATTCGGAGCCAGAGCGTGGGGATGTCCAAAGCGGGTCGCCTGCTTCGTTGCCCAAGCCCCTTTGCTGCCAGAGCACCTCGTGAGGATCTCGAGCGAGGCGCTGGCTTCACCACCCCAAGGGGGAGCCGCCAGGGGGTATGGCACCCGCCCGCTCGCGGCCAGTGTGGGGATGTCTCAGGCGGTTTGCCTGTTTTGCTGGTTTGATTGGTCCATTTTACGAACATTCGCCACCGTGCTCTTGAGGCACGGGTTGGAGTGTCCCGACGTCCTTTGTCCGACCACCTGGAGCCTCAGTCCTCAATCCTGAAAGTCTTGAAAGGGCCCGGACCACAAATCCACAAATTTCCCGGAGTGTTCCCGGACTTCCCGAGCCCAAGATGGCCTTTCGTCCGCCGAAAGAGAGCGCACAAAACGTCCCAAGAGGCTTCCAAGAACCTTCCCCAGAGGTCCGCGAGAGGCCGGCATCACCGTGTTTCAATGGTGGTTCAATGTGTTTCGGGGTCTTGCCCTTTCGGCGTCCCGACGCTCCGAGAGGCCACAAAGATCGCCCCAAGACGGCCTAAAAAGTCTCTAAGAAGGGTCTTGCCTGCCCAAAAGGGCTCCAGGGCGGCCCAGGAGGCGCTCAAGACGGCCAAATAGGCCCCCGAGACTGCTCCAAAGGGGGGGCCCTGATGGGGGATCCGAACGGACATGTTTCGAGTTCGAGGCCCCCAGAGGGCACCCAGCAGGCCCCAAGATGCCTCGTTCTCTCTTCCATGCTCAGGGGGACCAGATCCGAAGGAGAGCACTAGCATCGCAACAGCATGAATGGCGAGTGCGTCCGCGAAACCGCCCACGGGGTGTTTCCCTGAGGAGGCTTATCCTACGAAACCGACGTTCTTTTGTTGTTTGTCTCAAGAATGCGATCCGCACTCAGCCAGATGCCGCGCGGACCCCGAAGCACGCAACGCCCCGAAGGCACGGCTGGCCTTGGGCACGCGGACCCTCACCTTTGCTAGGACCTTTACCCTTGGCACTCGAGCGACCCTTTGGCCCCTTGCCCCCTGCAGCGTGACGAGGCCTCCTCGGGATAGTAACTGTCGGAGGGCCATCCAAAAAATGCGGGGCCCATGGGCCAGCTGCGAGACGCGCCGACTGCGAGAGGGAGGAGCGGAGGCGGCCGAGGAGGCGGGAGGGAGAGAAAAACCTTGTTCCAGCAGCTCGGCCAAACGCGAGCTGGTCTGCATCGCTGCGGGCAGGCGCCCTACTTCACGCAGTGCTCGTCGACCTACTTGCTGAGCGCCCACTCCAGCGGTCCGCGCGGCGGCGCGCCCGCGAGCTCCTTCCCGCCTTCGTACTTCGCGAGATCGAGCATATACTGCTGCAACACGGCGCCGTGCTGGTGGCGAGGGCCCACGTGCCGCATCAGCGCGCACGTCGGCGTCGAGCCCTCTTCATTCTTGTGCGCCTTCACCCTGCAGTGGCCGATCAGCTGACCGACTCCGTTCATGCCCTCGCACTTACTGAGCGCATCGTTGGAGATCTGGAACATGTCCTCGCAGTGATTGGTCTCGGTCTGCTGCGCTGCTCCTGCCGCCGCCGCCCTCGTGGCTCCGTGGCCGAACGCCGCCGTGAATATCTGGATGTGCGCCGCGCCCCTTGCCTCGTGGTCGACGACCTCCCCCGTCTTTTCATTTGCCTCGAGCGCAGCCGAAGATTGCCCGACTGCAGGCCGACCGCGATCAGCCCCGCGGCGACGGGCAGCGCGAACTTAGTGAACAGCAGGGCCCCCTAATCCCCCATGTCCTTCGTGTTGGCGAGGGCTCGCTTTACCGCCGGAAGCACGATGTCGCCCTTCGCGGCCCTGCGCTTCTTCGGCCCGCGGTCACCGCCCATGTCTTTCACGTCTTCGCCCTTCTGCTCTCCGCCAGCGGTGATGGACGAGTTGCGCCAGGGCGGCATGGCGAGCTCCGGCTCCTCCCCCATCGCCCCTGACATATCTGCTGGCAGGGGGAGCTTCTGGCGCGGGCCTGATGACTCCCGGCAAATTACTCGACCGTAGATGGCTGCAGAGGCCCCCCAGGGCGCCCGCTTCGCATTCACGGCATAGGCATTGTAATGACCGGGGTTGCTTGAGAGGTAGTAATATACGTGCAGCTCCGCGCTGGCAATGCCCATGTGCTATAGCTCTCGGCGAGCGCTTAGCTGCTGTTTTCTGTGTCGCGAACTTCTGCTGAGAACTGATGCACGTGTTTGTCGGCATGCTAACGAAGTAGAAGCTTCGAACATGATGCGCTGACTTGATATGTGATAGGCACGCTGGCCTCGACGAAAAACGAGCCCCACATTCAAGTCCATTTTGGCTGTGTCCACATATGGACACATCCACACCTGGCGGGCCCCGCTCGGGCGGCGGGGGGACTGCCTTTGGCGAGGTTGCCTCTTGATAGCGCGGCGGCGGGATTTGCCCACCGAAATCACGGCTCCGCAACCCGGCGAAATCAATCGAACAAGAATCCACCGCGGCGTCCGCGCCCTTATCCGCGAGCAGAGACAAATTCGAAGCAGCCGGCCCAATCGTGCAATCTGGCAACAGGTCGACCGCCCGGCCAAAGTCCGAGGCCGCATCTGTCGAAGCCAGGGAGAGGCATGCTGCGCGGGGCGCCCGCTGAGGCCTGGCGTCAAATTCAAACTCTCCAAAGAGAGCCACCAGGACATGCGCGCGGCGTTCTGGGCGACGCCCCCACGTCTGGTCAAGCTCGAGACTCCTTATCCTCATCTCCTGGCTGGAAGGTCGTACTTCCCCAAACCGTAGGCTCTCTGGGTGGGCGAGGCTCGCGGCGCGTTCCCCCCCAGTTAGCCGCCCCCCCCCCCCCCCCATCGCCGCCCACCCCAGTCTACTCAGGCATGAGTCCAACATCTCGTAGTCGAAAGAAGACAGGGCGAAACTCTCTAGCCCTGTCCGCGACGAAACCGACGATTAAGCATCTCCCCCACCTCCTCGCTAAACCAGCAAGCTTCCACAGCCGAATGTATGCGCGTGAAAACCAGAACGGGCAGCAACGCACCTGCGAACGACGCAATTTCCACCCGAGTCTCGCAAGGTAACGAATGGCCCAAAGTACCGCGCCCCCTCCCGCACAGCCCGTTCAGAGCAAGATCCCCCGCTCGAAGTCCAGCGCGGCCCACGCGGCCCCGCTGGGCAAATTGCACGAGAAACTCCTGCTTGGATGCATGTTGGGTATTACCATGCCGATACAAGGCCTCGTCTAGGTCATTGCCCCCGCGCACTAGCCCACCCAGGATGGAAGCCAAAGGGTCTCCTGGACCAGAGGAAAACCTGGTTCAAATCATCGGCGTACTTTTGCACGCAGGCGTCCACCTCCCATCCCTTCCACTCCCCGCCCATACCTCGCATCTCGCATCCCGCGATCTCAAACCCCTCCCCCGCGGCAATATTGAAGAGTTGAAGGCGCCCGAACAAGGCCGCGACAATGAACGGGTTGCCTGCGCAGCCACCTCGTCTGGGCCGGACGACGCGCAGCTCGTCTGAGGCCTCGAATTGAATCAAGCTCTGCCGAAAACGGTACTTTGCAAAGGCCCTGGCCCCCTAGCTTCGCGCGGAGCTCCACGACCTGGCCCAGGGCAGCGCGAGTGGCACTGCCGAGTGCGTCACTGAGATTATCAAGACGCGCTGCGCGCGCGCGTATGTCCCCCCCCCCCCCCGAAGTCTACGACCCATAAGCTGCGAACGCAGGACTGCCTCCTCCCGACGACGCCCCCCCCACGCACACACACGCACACACAAACCCGCGGCGCATGACCGATGGCTCCCCACGAAGACGACGACAGAAGCAGCCCTTGCGAAATGGTGGGCAATACGCGCACTACTCTGCGCCCTCGCGGCCCCTTCCAGGCCCGGTGTCCTCGGGCCGCGCGCCGAACTAGCGCGCCAGTCAAGCAGCGTTTGCTCGCGCATGCGGATGCTGGCCAGGCCGACGTTCACGAAAAACGCGAAATGAAGCGTCCTCCGGTGCTCTGCAGAGGCTCCCAGACCCTGGGCCCGCTCGGCATCAAGACGCGGCTCCGGGAGAAAACGCATGTGCGACAACTCCAAAGGCGCGGCCCCAGGAGGAACCGCCACTCTCTTTTTGGCCCGAATGGATGCCAGAAGGACCAGGCAATAATCGCCCATGGCCAATTCAAAGAGATCTGGATCAGGAAGCCACTGCAAATGCCCCTCCTGGTCCGCGCGAAGAGACTGCAAATCAGCACGCTTCACCGCCATGCCACCGTCGTGCTCTGGCAAAGGCCAAACATCCAGCCACTGCTGAGCTGGGAGAGGGCCCGGTCGGATCAAAGCTCCGTCGCGCTTCTCCGGCCCGATCCCCGTGCGAGCCGCCGCGCGCGCAAGTGTCATGGCCTCCGCTGCCCGCCTCTGCCTCCACGAGTCATTCGCCTCATCGAGCAGCCTCTGTCGACGACGTCGTTGGCATCGCCGGCGGGCAAGCTTCAGCTCCTTCGTAAGGTCGGCCAGCACCTGGTCGATCTCCTGGGCCCCCGGCTCACTGCCTCGGAATTTGCATTCTCGAAGCTAGCGCAGCCCCCCAAGTAGTCCTCGCACAGCGGCGGGCGCGCTGCCTTCGAACAAATCCTCTCCAGCCTTCATCCGGCGTTGCTCAGGTGTCTCGAAAATGCCGTCGGGCGAAGCACTGTCCCTCATGAGGCGGGGTCCACAGTCAGAGGAGTCCTGCACCTTTCCCAAAAACATTATCGTTTGTTGTAGGTGCCCTTACTTGCGGGCCATCATCAGAGCATCTCGGCTCCAGCCAAGAAGCGGCTCAATTTCGACCTCTGGAGAATACTTCGCATGCGTCAGAACGCACACGAGTGGCAAGTAATCAGGTGGGGCCGCACCTCGCTGAAGTTGGAGTTTGGCCCCGAGCTTGGGAATAGTGCCACACGTGATAATCGTAGGGTCCATGTCCTTTGGATACCTGAAATAGTCACCCCGCGAGCTGTCGGCATCACCGATGACAGTCGGTGAGATATTCCCGCCCACCGCGTTGCCTGCCACCAGGAGGTGTTCATCCAAAGCTGCGTGGAACAGTGCACCTGCTCCTTCCTCCAGTCGTTTGAGTGTGGGCACACCCATGGCGCCCGAACCGACGTTCATGGACGCCAAAATAAGGTATTGACGGCAACGTTTGGCTCGAACTGCAATGGTTTCCCCCCGCGCGGCCTCTGGAGAAATCCCGTTTCCACGATATGTTGCTCCTTCAGCCCGCCACCGAACACGACAGCACATCCACAAATCGTGTTCGAGTGCGGGCTCGGGCCGAAGGCTGCTTCAAGTAGTAATCTGCCAGCCACACGTCGACGTAATATCTGACTGCCAGTGTAGCTCTGGCGGTAATATGCTGACTGTGTGCCTGCCAAGAACACCGCATGAAAAATCCGCAACTCCGTCAATATCTCCTCCTGCCGCGCTCCTGTGCAGCTCTGCGGGTCCCAGCCCAGAATGTGTAGTCGATGCGTCCGCGCTGAACCACATTATCGCGTATCTAAATCGATACCGCTCTGGCAGGAGGCAACTGAATGTCGAGCAGCTGGTCCACATATAAAAAAAGTTGGCTTGAGCCGATGGGCTCCGAGATGCCTCCAAGAGGCCCCCAGGAAGCCCCGAGAGGCCCCCAGGATGCTTCCAAGAGCCCCCAAAACAGCCCCCAAGAGGCCAACGACAAGCCTCCACGAGACCCCAGCGAAAATCCGAGAAGCCTCCCACCCACAACCCGGACACGGGAGCGGGGCGGGACGAAGGCCACCAGATCTTGGGAGGATGTCTCGAGCGAGGCGCTGGCTTCAGCACCCCGACGGGGGAGCTGCAAGGGGGTATGACGCTCGCCAGTGCACGCGCCGCCCCTGTGCATAGTGCGCTATCGCTTGCAAGTCATGCCGCGACGCTGCTGATCGGGACAGAACACATCCCTCCACGGCCCGTGGCGTTGCACCCCGTTCACGCGGCCAACTTCCTCAGCCATGCCCACGGTGCGTGTCCGTCCTCGCCACTTTCCTTGCTGCATCCTGGGCATTCATGCCCATCCAGCAATCTCCAGGTCGTGTCGAAAGATCTGCTCACAGCCTGTCTGTCAGCTGTGGTGGTTCTGTTCGTTGGCCATCACTGGTGGTCGCTGCAATGTTCGTCGCACCCGTCGTCCATTCGGAGTTGCTGTCGCACCCAGACACCCACAGACAAACACTCACCAGGAGAAGCGCCAGGAAGCTCATATACACAAGTGGGGATCTCCGCGTCGAGTGCGCTCTCGTCGCTACGGCCTGATGCTGCTCGTGCAGTGTTGCTGAGTGGTGCTGAAAGTCGTTAGTTTTAGGTCGGACATGTCCTCCTACAGGCGGATGGTGGACGAACCTATACTCCAAACCTACCCAAAAATTACAACACATAGTCAACACATCGTCCCCTGACAATGTTCGACTAGTTTTGCATCTTCCTCCTGTGTATGGACATGCCCGGCTTAACGCTGGTTGCTGCTGCGTGCCTGGGGATCACTGGGACGTTTGGGTAGCAGGTTGGGCTTCCGCGGAAGCCTCTCGTGGAGCAGTTGGACCCGAGGGCGCTACAGTCGGGGCTGATTGGAGAGGACACGCGCGAGAACACAAAACCCTCCCGAGGGCCACATTGCCATAGGAATGTAGAAGACATGCGTCGCCAAGCACAAGCACGCAAGTACTCCTGAGTTAGCAGGGTCGACCTACCAATACGCCTCGACTGTACCATGGGTCTCGGCAGAGTCTCGTCGGAACTCTCGTTTGCCGCTGGGGGGATACTTACTGGGGAGCCCCTTTCAGGCGTCGCTGGAAGGCTGGGGCCCTCTTGGGGGCCTGCGAGAACCGCTTGAGACCACGTAGGAGCTTCTCAGGATCTCGTGGAGGCCTCGGGGGGGGGGTCTGGAAGGCCTCTTGGGAGCGTGTTGGGGGTCGCTTGCTCTTGGGCAGTCGTAAGGCTGCCTGGGGCCGCGTGGGGGCGCCGTGAAGCTACCCCGGAGCCAGCTTGGGGCCTCCTGGGGGCCACGGGGGGCCCTTTCCAGTGGGTGCCCGACAACAAGAAGCCTTCCACGAGGAACCAAACCCTGAGACCCCAGGGCGTCCATGGATTCTTGGTGTCAGAGCGTCACGCTTTCCAGAGCAAAACCATCGAACCCCACGGAAAAACCCAGGGCACCCTGGAGGCGGGCAGAGTGCTTCTTGGCATGGGCCTCCACTGTGAGATTAGGTCGGGCCTGTCCCCCTACAGGGGGAGTTTGGGCTTTTTTTCTAACGCTCAAAACTAGTGAGCAAATCGTCTCCATACTATTGTTTGACTATTTTGGAATATTCCTCCTGTAGAGGGACAGGCCCGACCTAACTGTGAGGCCATCCTGGGGCGCTCTTGGGCCACCCTGGCGGCCCCTCGGGCCACCTTGGGGCCTCCGGTGGGAGTATCTGGCCGTCCTGCGGCATCCAAGGCCCCCTTGGTCTGGACGCCCGAAATGGGGAGGAGGAGGAGGAGGGGGGGAGAAGGAGGAGGAGGAGGAGGAGGAGGAAGAGGAGGCGGAGGAGGTGGAGGAGGAGATGCAGGAATAGGAGGAGGAGGAGGAGGAGGAGGAAGAGGAGGAGGAGGAAGAGGAGGAAGAGGGGGAGGAGGAGGACGGAAAAAAATGCACAATGCCCGACAACAAATGTTGTCCCATACCAACAGAGGCCGCTGCTGGGCAGACGGCCTGCTGTCTTACATGTACACAGGCCGCGGCGGCGCGGACAGCGAACTGTGTTCAAAATGAACAGGAACTGTTGTTGGGCATTGTACCCATTATTTCCGTACCCATTCCGGTCGTCCCGACTTGGGCAGCCTTGGACTGGCGGAAGCCTTGGAAGGCGAGATCGCCAGATCACGTCCAGCAGCAATGCAGAACCATTGATGTGGGCACATGCGAACCCTCAGTGAAGTCCTCTTTGAGGACTCCCAGCGTCTTGGGGGCACCTCGGGCCCTCTTGGGGGCGTCTTCCAAGCCAACCTCGGCTGGGCCACCGTGTGGCATCTGGTGGCATCCTGGCGCCCTTCTCGGGCTCGTACCCACGAGGGGCCTCCGAGGCCGCTGGGGGTGGCCCCCACTCTGACTCGGAGCTGGACCTTTCTGGCACGCGATGGGACATGCAATGTAGTATACAGTCGAACCCAGACTGGAATAACATCCCTCAAGAATACGAGACCCTCCGCCGGACCTCGATCTTTGACCTTGGTCCGACTGTAGGTGACGTCGGGCTTTTTCTTCTGATCCCAAACTTTGCCGAGCAACGACAGCGCTTGCTGCCACTGTCCACCTTTGTCACAAGCGCTGATCACTGCGTTGTAGCTGATGACGCTGGGATCTATCCTCGCTTCCCACATTTCGTCAAATAGAGACAGAGCCTGCTGCCACTGCTCGCCAACTGCGCACGCATTGATCCCAGCAGTGTAGCTGAAGACGTCGGGATCCAATCTCGCCACCCGCATAACACCGACCAGCAACGTAGCCAATTGCCACGCCCCGCTTTTCGCGCACGCGCTGATCCCAGAATTGTAGCTGATGGCAGTTGGATCCAATTTCTCATCCCACATCTCGCTGAGCAGTGACAAAGCCCGCTGCCACTGCGAGCCTTTCCCGCACGCGTTGATCCCAGCATTGTAAATGACTAGCGTGTACCAGTGGTGTGACCACCGCTCCAGACGTTGTTGGGGGCAGTGCTTGTACGGCGTGCATCCACAAGCAAGTGGCGTCACTCCACTTGCTTTTGGGCTCTCTTGGAATCCACTTGAAGCCGCTCTGAAAGCCCTTCTTTGGGCCTATATGGGCCTATCCTGGGGCTTCAGGCGGGTCTTAGACCGCGCCTGGGAGCGCTACGAGAGAGCCCCGAGTGGGCCCGAAGAGAAACGCAAGTGGAGTGACGCCACTTTCTTGTGGGCCATCTTGGTGGGCTTTTGGAGCTCTCTGGGGGTCCCCCCTTGAAGCCCCTCGGGACCCTCTCGGAGCTACACTGGGGCTCCATCGAGAAGTCAGGCGAGCTCCTGGGAGGCTCCAACGGGGCCCCAAATGCCCCCCGAGGGGGCCCAAAAAAGAAGTGGCGCCACCGCACTTGCTCTTGGGGCTCTCTCGGAATGCGCTTCGAGCCGTCTCCGAAGCCTCCTTGTGGTCTCCTGGGGCCCGCTCCTGCCTACCCTGCGGATTCAGGCGGGACTGAGACTGCCTCCGGGAGCGCTCGGAGAGCGCCCCAAGTGGACCAGCCCTCGAGGGAATCTGCGGAGCACCCTCTCTTCCTCTAAGGAGCCCTCCCCCCCCCTGCCCCCCTGCCCCCCTCGGCGCGCAGACTAATCCGCGACCTCGGTAGCGCGGTGAGGCGTGAAGGCGCCGAGGACAAGGTGGCTCGTGCGTGGGGCGTCCAAGTTCGGCAGGGTCACATCGTCGTCCGTTCATCTGGGGCTCCTTGTGAACTGCATCGTGTTCCCTGGTTTCGGTTCTCTCGAACCTGTCGTGGGAGCCTCTGGGCAAGTCCTGTCGGGACTCTGGTGGACACCCATGAGGCGGTTCCAAAAGATCGGGGGAGCCTCTTGGGGGGTCTGTGGTCCCTCTTGGCCCGTCTTCGGGCTCTCTTGGGCCGTCTTGTGGTTCTCTGGGGCCGTCTTGGGGGCCTCTTGCGGACCTGTGAGGACGGCTCGGAACCTTCTGGGGCCAGCTGGGGCCGGCTTGGGGGCCTCTGGGACCCTTTGGGCATCTCTGGGGCTTCTCTTGGGGCCCTCCGGGACCGTCTTGGGGCCGTCTTGGAACTGTCTTGGGGCTTTCTCGGGCCATCTTGGGGCGCTTTCGGGAGCCACTGGGGCCGCCGTGGCACGATCTGGGAGGCCCCTGAGGCTGTCCTGGGCGGCTTAAGCTGGAAAACGTGAAACACGAAACGCACAGGAAAAAACAGCATAGAAAATCAATGAATTCGGCCTCCGGAAGCGCTCCCTGGGAGTCTCTTGGGGCGGTCCTGGGGCGTCTTTGGCGCCTCTTGGGCTGTCTGGAGGCCATGCTCGGCAGTCTTGCGCCGTCTCCTGCGCCATCGGGGCCTCTCCGAAGGCACCCGCTGGCGGCGCGCACAACGGGTGTAGGGGGAGGGGGGGGAGGCTTCTTGGAAGAAGGCTGCTTCTTCGAAGGCGCTGGCCTTACATCTATAGACAAGGCCCGCGCCTTCTCAGAAGCAAGGGTGCTTCTAAGAAGCCTTCCCCCCTCCCCCTGCCCCCCCCTCTGCGCGTGGCCGATACCGAGACGGCTCCGAGGGCCCGCCTGGAGCGGCTCGGGCCCTGAGGAGCCCCCCCGGACCGGCTCGGAGGGGACTGACTCGCTGCCACCGCTCGCCATTGTCGCGCGCGCTGTCCGCGGTAGTAAAGGAGAGACGACGTCAGCCTCCGCCTTCGCCTCCTGCATCTCACGGAGCACCGACAGGGCCTGCTGCCACTGCCCGCCTTTCCCACGGACAATAATGTCAGTGCCGTAACTGAAGATGTTAGGCTCGAAGTTTGCGTCGTACGTCTCTTCGAGCAGCAACAGCGCCTCCTCTGAAGAGAAAACATGACATTAAGTATTTGAACGTCCGCGCGGATTTCTTGCCTCGCCGCCCCTTGCGCGCAGAGCTCTTCAAGGGCGGCGCTGGAGGCGCCGCCAGGAGGGCCCAGCGCAGATCCAAGAACTCCACGCGGACCATTGAAAAATGTTCGAGGAGACGTAAGACTCGGGTTCGGGAGACTCGAGTTGGCCTGACGGTGCCGTCAAGAATATGCCAAGACCCGGCCTGGAATTTGACGCGAGCTCCCGCTTCAAGCATCCCACGAAAATTGGAACGTCCAGATTCAGACTGGGCACGTCAAAGGGCGCAGGCAAACCCGAATTTCGGCGAACTCGAGGCTCTGCGCCCCCCCGATGAGTGCATTGTTCCTTCTTCGGTCAACATGAAGGGGAAACATGTCCTGAGGGAAACGGGTCCAGGACCCTGGCGGCCTTCGCCCAAGGCAGGATCTTCATCATGAGCTGTTCTCTGATGACCCCAAGGCCCGCGAAGGGCCTCGAGAGCCCGAACACGGCAATATGCCAGGGCCTGCCTCCCTCAGGACAAGTTTCCTCCCTGGCGAGCTTCTTCGGTCCTGCCACTCCCCGTCTGTAGCTAAGTCGCCGACGGTCTCGACGCGCCGCTTGTAGGCCTCGTCGCGGAGCTGCTCCCTGTCCCGAGCCGTGAGCCTCCTGCGCGGCACTGCGCTCGTGCGGGATCCTGTCGGATCGGACGGGGGGCAATAAAGACCAGAGAGACATCAGACTCGGGCTCGCGGTCAGGAGGCAACTATAGGGTGGCCAAGAAGGACATACGCGCCCAACCATGCACATGAACACGGCCACTCTATCCGCGACACCGGCCGCGTGATACGAACATTCGCGCAATGCTTACTCTCGAAACCAACGTGGAGTCATGTACGTGTACGTGCTTCTCTCGCTCACGAAACTACTGGAAGGTCTTCGTCGGAAGGACTAGGTAGGATTAAGCCCCCTTGGGGGGCAACTACGCTGGATTATGCGAGAATTGAGCGGGACTGAGCCGGATTAAGCGGGATTAAGCGGGATTGAGCGGGAATCAGCCGGACTTCTGACCAGTGCAAAGTTAGAATTTGAATTCCCAGGAATTGAAGCCGAATCGGGGGGCTCGGGCTTGGAGGGGAAGAAAAACTGGGACCGCGACCAAGACTGCACGGTGAAACCTCGTGCCGATCTTGGTTCCCGTCGATCTTGGTCAGCGTCATTACGCGGATCATCCTCGCGAATCGGCGGTGGCCGACATGGACCATGGCCGACATCGACAAAATCCCGCGACATCGTGGTCATGGTCCCCGTGTTTCATCGCACGAGGATTGGCCCGACGGGCCCGTCAGGAGAATGACGAGAGCCAACCTGAAATTAGATGCAAGAACATCCCATACAAACAGGACCGTCACCATCCAGGACGGGCCCGTCGAAAAGCCTGAGCAATTCCTAGCTCCAGCGAACTCGAGTCCTACATACCTCGGAGAGAAGGTTACGATAGGTTTGTGCGGTATCGGCGCACGGAAAGGTTTTTGACACCGCGTCGATCGGTCAACCTTGAACCGATCGCAGTCCCGATCGTTCATGGTTGAATCCCGTCGGGTGCTGCGGCGTTACCGAGTTCCTCGGTGCTTACGCGTCGCTCTATCTTAGCATGAGTGAAACGGGTCCTGAGAGAAACGGGTCCTGGACCCCAGGGCCTTCCCCCAGGACCAGCGTTTCATCCCGAGTATGGAAGGCCCCAAGAAGCCGTAGACAACAAAAAACCTCAGGACCCGTTTCCCGCAATAAGGAGGTCTATCGTGCGGGATTCGACCTTGAACGCCTTCGCCAGCATCGCCAGCGCACCAACGGCGCATGAACCTACCGTAGCGGACCAACTCACGTGGCTGGTTATCCCAACACCTTCCAGCACCGCAGGCACCCGCGCATGAAAAAAAAAATTGCCCAGCGTAATGCTTCAGACTTTGTGCCCACCCCCTTCTCCCCCTTTCCCTGACCCTGAAATCCCGCGACTCCATTTTTCCGAGCTGGGCGCTTTCGCATACTTTCCGGCCCTGGGACCCTCACAGATCAATCGGGCTCGAAAAAAATGGCAGAAAGGAAAATGAGGACTACGGCTCCAGGCGTGCCTCTTGACGATGTTGCATGTTTTCGCTACGTCGGATCTCAGGAGACACCCGCCGATCCGATATTCCGTTGCGCGGCTCCATGAGGTCCCAACCCCTTCCCCAGAGCACGTTTCCCGCCCCGGATCCGCGTCGGATGGGCCTGGGATCAGGTCGGGCATGTCCCCCTACAGGCGGATGTTGGACGACAAATCCGAAAAATACCCGAATAATATTCAACAAACGATCTAAACTACTCCAAAAATCGTCCCCCGACTAATTTTTTACTGTTTCTGGATGTTCCTCCTGTAGAGGGACACGCCCGACTGACGCCTGGGGCCCGACAGCTGGCCTCGGGGGCCGAGATCGAACAAGAACGACCGCACCGAAGGACCACGGGCCCGAACTCGGGCCTCCGGCGGCCGCTCGGGGCGACGCGGGCCCCCCCGGAGCCTCAGCTCTCTCGACGAGGCGCAGCCACAGAACAGCGCCCCGAGGCTGGGGAACCACCGGGGACCGACGACAGTGTTCAAAAACAGAGGGCAACCGACCAAGACGAAGCCAGGACGAGGATCAAATCGGGTGAGGATGCATCGAGAATCTCTGCGATCCAGCGGTTCTGGAGGATGTCTCGGGCACCGCGGCCTTCTCAGATCGTTCCCGAACGCTCTCAGAGCGTTCCCGAACGCTCTCGTCGGACAGATCCTCGTCGTAGCCCCGTGCGACCAACGGAAACTCAAATCGTCGGAGACCTGGTCTTCGTCCCACCCGATCCTTGGGCGGGGCGGGGCCGCGCCACCCCGCGGGAGGCGCCCGCGGGGGGCGCTCGAGGCGGCGCCCGCAGGGGGGCCCCAGGGCGGTGCCCGGGGGGGGCGCCCGCACGGGGCGCTCCAGGCTCGCGCGCACCGGGGAGCACGGGGAGCTCGGGGAGCTCGGGGAGCACGGGGAGCTCGGGGAGCTCGGGGAGCTCGGGGAGCTCCGGGGTCGGTGCACACCGGCGCTGGATCCGCCTTGGGGCGGGGGAGGGGGGAACAACATCAGTGGTGCGCCGCCGAGGGGAGCCCCTCAGCGCGTCGCTGTGGAAGAACCGCCGCGGCCTCGGACAAAACGAAGGAGTACCACGCTGATGAGCTCCCAGCGGCAGCGGGTCGTTGATCAGAGTGAGGGGCCCGAACGGTCTTGCACCACCCCTGGGTGCGCGGGCGAAGTTGGATGCAATGATCCGGATTATGCTTGTTTGTTGCCGATTGTGGTTGGTGTTGCTGTTGTTGATCTCTCATTCTTGAATGATTGCTGTTGATCCCCCTCCGTTGACCGCTATATGTTTTCAAGTAAGGTGTTTCTCCCAGGGCTCGCTCCCTGTTTTCTATTCGGGAAAGTTCCCTACCTAGGCTCTGCCTAGAAGGGTTCTTACTCTCTGGGCTTAAAGGGGCCGGGCAGTGGAAAGCGCCCCGGGCGGCTCCCCCAGTATCCGCCCCGCGGTTCCCCCAGTTACGTCCCCTTAGTTTAGCGTCGCTTATCTCATCTTAGTTTAGCTTATGTCATATTAGCTTAGCTTAGCTTCATCTTAGTTCAAGTTTATCATAGCTTAGCTTACCTTCATCTTAGCTCCGTTGAGCTTTAGCATAGCAAAGCACAACATAGCATAGCATAGCGCAGTTTAGCATAGCACAGCATACCTTAACATAGCGCAGCGCAGCATAACATAGCATAGCTTAGCATAGCATAGTACAGCATAGCATAGCATAGCGCAGCATAGCATAGCATAGCATAGAATCGCATAGCATGGCATAACGCAGCATAGCATGGCATAGCATAGCATAGCATAGCAACTAATGCTGCTTTCCTAGGGGCTCCAACTTCTAGGTAGGGTCGCACTGGGGTAACCTTCGTGCTAAAACTGCGTTGCCGGGCTCCGAACAACAACAACAATAAGTTTAAGACTGTTCGCTCCGATCTGCTCGCGTGCCATTCAACACGTATATCCAGAACCCTCGACACCTGCCTCCTTCGTCCTCGACCGTACCCCCCTTGGGGGTATACCTGTCGTACCTGCAACGTGTATTTTGTGCAGCCCCTAAGGCAGGGGAAGAGAGGACGGATGGAAGGAAGGGACAGGGGGAGAGAGAAGGATCGAGCAGGAGAGAGAATAGCAGGAGGGGGCTAGGAGCAGAAAACACGAGGCAGAACCAGACGGGCAGATCGGGCGGGTAGTCCCTAACGGGCGGGTCGGGAAGGAGGGCCCAGGCGGCCATGTCGAGCAGGCGGGTTGCTGAAGCGTGCATCCTGCAGGAATCGCGAGGACGTCTCGAGCGACAGCGCGATTCTCAAATGAATCGCGAGGAAATCCACAGCGAGATATGATTCCTGAGTGCCAAGGGCGCGGCGTCTGAATAAATTGCAAGGGAATTCCACGCGAGAGCGCGATTTCTCCATACATTGTGGGAAATCCCGCTGTGAAGAAATATATGGCGGGAGCCGTTATTGTTGTAACTCGGGGGCCAGGATCCAAGTTGGTGACCCCTCGCTTCCCTTTGTAAAAACATGGGGCGGGCCCCGGGAAGGGCACTTCAATTGAAACAGCCGAATGTGCCCCGGAGGAGGGGGATCGGCAAACATTACTCCTCAGTAGTGGGAGTTCAACAGAAACAACAACAGCAACAACAATAACAACAATCTTGTTAAGACTGTTCGCTCTTTCCAGCTCGCGTGCCATTCAACACGTATATCCAGAACCCTCGACACCGGCCCTTTTCCTCGTCGATCGCACCCCCCTAGGGGTATGTGTTCCATACCTGCCTCTGCGCAGCCCCTAAGCAGGGAAAAAGAGGACGGATGGAGGGGGGGGAGAGGGATGGACCACGGGATTAGCAGGAGGGGGGCTAGGAGCAGAACTCACGCGGCAGAACCAGTCGGGCCTGTTGGGCGGGTTAGACCCTAACGGGCGGGTCGGGAAGGCGGGCCCAAGCGGCCACGTCGAGAAGGCGTGTTGCTGCAGCGTGAGTACTGCAGGAATCGCAAGAAAGTCTTGAGCGATCGCGCGATCCCCACGCATATCGTGAGAAAGGCCAACGCGAAAGCGTGTCTCCTGTGTGTCGAGGGCGCGGCGTCTGAAAAGAAATTGCAGAGAAGCACCACGCGACAGCGCGATTTCTGCATAATTTGTGAGGGAATCCCGTGCGCGAGCGCGATTTGGAAAACATTGTGAGGAAGTATCAGGCGGGAGCCGTTGTTGTAAACCGGGGGCCAACAACCCAGTTTGGTGCCCCCCCGCTGTTCCTTATGAAGAACAGGGTGCGGGCCCTGGGAGGAGCACTTTCCTTGAAAAACACAATCTGCCCCAGAGGGAGGGGATCAACAACAATTATTTTTGAGTGCTGAGAGTTCAACAACATTCAGCAGCCGCCAACAACAACGACAACAACAACAACACCATAATCAAAAGCAGCAATCAGTTTGACACTGTTCGCTCTTACCTGCCCGCGTGCCACTCAACACGTAACCCCACCCTGGAAGCGCTACCTGGCACCAGGAGCCCTCCTCCTCCTCCTCCTCATCCTCCTCCTCCTCTCCTCCGTAGCCATTGTGGCTCAAGCCGCTTGAGCCCAAGTGATTCTTGGGCTTGCAGCTGCCGTCTTCAGAGCGGTAACCGCAGCTGCGAGCCAACGGCTCGGTTTCAGTTCAGGCCGAGGGACCTCATCCCTCCAGTAGCCACGCGCCTTGTGCAGCCGCATGGGGCAAGACCCTGATGTCCTACCAGGCCCGAAGGCGCCTATGTGGGGATGTCCATCCTGCGGGCGCAACAGCAACTTCGCGTGCCGCATCAAGTGCCTGTGCGGGAAGAAGGCCCCGCAGGCAATCACCGACAAGGCTAAGAAAGCAGCAGCGGAGCTCCAGTCGCCCCCCCGTGGCAAGCCACCTCGTGCTCCTGGTGGCGCTTGGGCTCGTGGTCCTCCGCGGGATGCTTCCAACTCAGTGGTGCGATCCATCAGTGCGCTGCAGAAGCAGATGGAATCCCTCGTCGAGCAATTCGGCCAGCAGGCGGGCAGCCGCCCACAGCCCGCAGGCGCGCCACCAGATGCTGCAGATGGAGGAGGCGCTGACGGGGCCAGTGACGAGGTCACCAAAGTTTTGTCTGCCAAAATCAAGTCCTTGGAGAACACCCTCCAAGGGATTCGAAGCGATGAGCAGTTCCCTGTCGCCATCCAGCAATCCATGGAGAAGGAGCTGGCTGATGCGCGCAAGGAGTTCAATTCTACAAAGCCTTCTTTGTCGCGCCACACGGCGCTGGGCCACAAGTTGCAGAGGTCCAATGCCAAGCTGGAGCGCCTCGACGAGGATATCAAGATCCAGCAGGCCCTCATCCAGGCGGCTCAGGCTGAGCTGCAGAAGATGGAGGAGAAAGCCAAGCTGGTCAGAGTGGAGATCGAAGCCACCAAGCTGGAGCTCCAGTCTACCATGGCGCAGGCGGCCCCGACCAGTGCGGTGCCAACATGTGTCCTGGACGCGGACGCGGTCAAGGACAAGCCTGAAGCGCAGCAGCTCATGGCCTCCCCGCTGTTCGCCGAATACCAGAAGTTGTTCGAGCAGCAGTGCCAGGCTCGGGCAGCCCAAGTTCCCCCCCCTCCTTCGGCCCCAGTGGGCTCGGGAGGGGACCCTTGTGGCCCTGGCACTCCAGGGGCCAGTGGAAGTGATGGGGGTGAGAACATCCCCACCCCCATGGACACAGATTTGGAAGATATTTCGGATGAAGGCATTGACAAACTTATCGAAGCTGCCAGGTCAGAGGAAGATAATAAGCGTGCCTTCGGAGATCTTCTCAAGCAGTTGGGTGTTCAGGCCAAGAAGCAAAAGTGTGGGTGGCACTATGTTCGACGGCCCAGCTCCCAAGTGTTGTGGCATTCCTCTCTCCTGCACAGGTGCCCCCGTCCCACCTCTGAAGGGAGCCCCGTCCAGGTCCAATACTGAGATTGGGCAGTGTTCGGTTGAGAGTTTCAACGGTTCCTGCTGGGCCACGCTCAAGCGGCGCTTGCGCGAGAGCTCGGCGATTCTCCTTTGTGCGCAGGAGGTCGGCATCAGTGCGGACTTCATCGGCAGGGCCAGCGACAAGGCGCGACGTCTTGGCTGGCATGCTCTTTTTGCCCCAAGCTACCTCAACCCTGAGACTGGTAAGTTCTCGGCAGGTGTTGCTATCTTTGGAAGATTGAGTATTGGCATCAGATGGCCCCCTGAAGGTGAGACTCCAGTGGCGCCCCATCGTATACTAAAAGTTTTGGTTGATGTCCCTGGATGGCCGACGTTATCGCTGTTCTCGGTTTACCTGAAGTCGGCGGAAGGACTAGGGCCCATCAACACGGCTCTGTTGGCCCAGTTGGGCCCTGCTATCTCAGACCCCACCCGCTCGATCGTGGCTGGCGATTTCAACATGTCTCCTGAGGTTCTGGAAGGCTCTGGTTTCGTTCGGAAGCTAGGTATGCTCACGATGGCCCCGATGATGCCCACATGCAGGCCCCCGACATCCAGTGCGATTATTGATTTCTTCTTGGTAGGTCCTGGAGTGGCCCGGCTGGTCCAAGGGGTTGCTGCCGACACATCTTGGGGGATCAAGCCCCACCGTCCAGTGTCACTAGCTATTCGTCCAGATGCGTTGACGGCCAAGCAGCTGGTCTACCGCAGCTTCCAGAAGTTACCCCTAGAGCTACCTTTTGGGCCTCGTCCTGCTGAGGGATGTTGGGAAGGCGCCCGTCACCTTGCAGTGCATGCAGTCGCGCGTGCGCGACGCAGCCCTGCTGGCGAGGCCTGGGCTTGCTTGAATGCCGCGTGGCGCTTCTTCGTCGATTGTGCAGAACTCGAGCTGGTGAGATTCCTGGGAGTGGAGTCCAAGTCCTTGGGGGGGCGTGGTACCATCAAGGCCTCATGGGCCCCAGTGTTCTACAGGCCGAAACTTGCAGATGATCAGCTCCAGGTCTGTTCAGGATGGCGATGGCTCTATCATGCTTTCTCCGAGTTG